CCGCTACCTGCTACGGCCAAGGCACGGTCTGCGGTCGGCAAAAAAATAAATGCATTGTAATTAAATAACGTGAACTTGCACAAAGCTTCCATTGTATGAAATTCTCAAACTCTGGGTTTTATCCGGGCATTCTTTAACGCGTCCTCCTATTGACACTAAAAGGCTGAGTAAGGAATTGGTATTGGCATCGCAAGCGAGACCCTCCTGAGAAGAGTGCACGGGCTCGGCAAAGACATTGCTGGCTATGTAAATGCTAGTGAATAATGAATATATGACCACGTATGTTTGCACTGCCACTCGCCCCGGGAAGTGTCAGTGACATTTCCACGACATGGTACTCTTGTTTTAGGTGCACTTTGAAAGTCATTTGGGCGTGGTGAAATGTCATTGGCAGGCGATCGCACTACAGACCTTTGTGTCATAGGTTATTCCCTGGGCTTGTTTGCACTTAGAACAGCAACCACCACCATTCATCAGTAAGTGGTAGTGATGTCCCCATGGTGGTTGTGCCAGACTAGGTGCACTTTGAGGCTGCGTGAAGTGTCAACGGTTTCCTGGCCGGTGATCACTGGACAGGGCCAGGTGTTATGGATTAGCGCACAGGTACATACACACACTCGGGCATATATGACTCCTCAGAAAAAAAAAGTGAATTTGAGTGATTGAAAGCAGGGTTAATGCATATGCCTAGGGCATTATGTAAGGTTCTTAGCAGCTGTCAGACTAGAAAAAAACCCTTGTCAAATACTTAGAATAATTCCTGCAATTGTGAGTCTGTGGTTGTTGGTAATTTTCTTTTTGGTTCAAGGTGTGCAAACTCTCACTGTCATTGCTGCAGGTTAGGGTGACTTCAAAATATGCGTGAAAGACAAAACCGCGCGCCTTCGTCTTTATTTATTTTAGCGCTTGGCACTTAATCTGTCGCTGTCGCAACGAGACAGACTTTCCGTGTGGGAACTTTTGCAGCGAACTAACGCATCGATTTCTGAGAGACAATGACCCCGGCAAAAATGAGAGCGTGCAGCTACTACTGAACTCCCTTGAAGAGACATCCACACGAAGGGGTGCACACTTTTATTAGCCCATCAGACAGTATAGTCGAAGGATCATGGTGTTGTAAGCTAACCCAAGTGTACGTTAAACCTGGTTAAAAAGTAGGAAACGTATTGGCGCTTCTGAATGTGGACAGAAGGGAGGGGGTTTTGATGAATGGACGGTTGGGGCCCCAAGTCCATGGAGCCAAGAGCTGGGACAGGACCCATGCCTCGGGTCTAGTTTAGAATGTTTATGGGAATATGCAGCAGCAGCAGTGGGTACTGGGTCATGGTTCTGACACCGTTATTAGCCCCCTGAGCCACCGGGGCCGCCTCACGTTTCTCCATGTAAGGTCATTTGCAGTTTCACAGAGTAGATTTGCATGAAATGGGTAAACTGAGATGGATCTGAATTTCACTCTGCATCCTCTGTGTCTAATAGAATAACAATTATAGTACTACTCGTATGTCTCTTCTTTCCATAGTATAATGATAAATAATAATTATTCTAGTTATTCTCAGCTGGCTATGTAGCTGTAGTTGGTGTACTTGACTTGCAATGCGTGTTAAATTCCTTGTCTGGATTGCTTAAACCTATCATCCATCCAGGGTTTATATATTGAGTACAACTTTGTGGGAATTCGACAGTGATCATCCTTTAAAGAGATTGTCCCACACCATAGGAATGTGGAGTTTCCACCACTGGTCCAATGTTGGTTAGAGAGATGCGTCATGTGCCATTGCTTGTTTGGGCAGGAGGTGACCGTTTGACTTGGGTTTGAACATTCATAACTGAAAAATTTGACACAAATGTACGACCCTGAAGTTTACTGGTGCGTGCGTGCGTGTGTGTAATTAACGGATTATGCGCGTGCACACACAGAGAGAAACACCTTCCAACTTCTTTCCTCATCAGCGAGCTCATCGCAGAGTTGGCCCTGTGAGCCTGGATTAGCCGGCTTTGGCCTCAAGGCGCAGGTGCCCAAACATCAACTCAGCGCCTCTTCCCCAAGCCCACAGCCCTTTTAAGCGTCTGCCCGTTGATCTGCAGAGTGGAAGTGTGTGGGCGTATAATCTGATGTCATTCATACGGGGCTGTCTGCGTTTTGCTACAATTTGATATATTTCTTTTAAGCTCGGTGTATGAAAACAACCGCCGTAAAGATGTCTTAAGGCCTCTAATATCCTGGCGCGAGTCTCGCCGTGTTTTGAATATATGCGTCTGTCTTCCGTGAAATACAACATGGAATGCCTGTTGCGGCATTCCTTTGCCCAAGGTCATTGTTGCAGACGCTGTAAGCACAACAAAGCTTATTATGGTCTCGTGAGAGACAGACAGACTCCAGGAGTTGCTACATTTGGATGAGATGTGAAAATGAGATCCTGTCTGCACTACGGATATTAAAGAGTCTGTCTCTCTTGGATAAGAGAGGGGGATTACTTTGGCATGCCGGCTTAAGGACTGCTACAGCTCAATAAATATACAAAAATAATAGGCCTGGCGAAATTCATCACTGCGAGATTATAAATAATTGTTGGGATGGATATACGTGCCTATTTGGAATGTTTGGCATATTACTTGTGGATTACAGTGCAATGTAATAGATTCCATGCTCACCGAGTCTCATTGCACTCTTTGAGGAGAGTGTTACAATGGCATTAAAGCTTTACAGTTGAGATTCTCTCTCGTATATCTAGCTCTGTACGATCCACCAACCCTGCCTCCAAAAATGCTGGGTTACTGGTGTGCATCTCCAAACCTAGCGGCGAGAATTATCAAACCAAACAAATCGTTGACCAGCAAGTGTGGCGAATCATGCTTTGCTGTTCACCTCCGCCATAACTGTGTTTACCTCTTTCCACGCGAAAGGCGCAATGCAAATGTCCCGCTGGCGACGAGACAATTCACGTGCCTCGATTGTTCCGTCACTCATCGAGTGACCCTGATGGGAATGAAAATTTCAACATGACAAGAGAAACGGAATCGCGGTAATAATTATCAAGTTGACCGCCAGAGTTATTTTATTGCAGTAATACTGCGGCGATCGGCGCAGCCCCGTGGTAACCTTTCTAAAACAATATGCAGCTGCAATTGAGGCCCAAAATTTATCTTCACCATTCGGAATGCCAGCCCTCTGATGGACAGTCTTCATTTGGCATTTGCGGTGTGCTACTGAAAGAGTTCAGCTAAAGTCATTGTTTTTCAAAGGCCACAGAGAGTGTCCGTGCACAATAGTGACATTTTCAATTATTGGCTTGTGAGCCATACGTATATTTCCTTAAGAACATGCTGTTTTTTATTCGAGAGAGCCATATACTCTTCTGTTTCTTTCGCCCTTTACGGTTAAATGGAACGTTCCAATTGAAACATCTGCACACCTGAGGGTCCATACTATGCAGTAATCTGAGCCATTCCACTGTTGGGTGTTAAAAAAAAAATGTGCCTATGACTAAATCACCTTGAATTTTGCCCGATCTTGGCAGTTCTCAGAAGCTAAGCTGTACTGACCCCGTATAGTGTTTGGATGGGCAACTACCATGCACGACAGGTTGTTATCGTTTTTGGATCTACGTGGTGCGGAACAAGAGGCAGTGAAGCAAAATCAACCGTTGTATTATACTTCGGAACTGCCCAGCATGGTGAAGTGTTGGTCAAGTGATCCCCACAACCCCGCACGGTGTGGCAAGTTCCTCATCCAGTGGTGGATTGACAATGGGGGACTGTGCCTGAGCGCACATGTTACGCATTAGCTGTGTGCAATACGCTTTAAGATTAGGATATTGTCGGGTGTGGGCTTGGCCGTCTGTAATCCAGCAGCAGCAGTAGTCCAGGTTCAGTGGATCGCGCAGATATATCGTCATGCCTCTTTGAGACACCCAACCTGCAGGACTACAAACTCGCCAGTCGTTGGCAGTAGAGCAAGTAGGTTTATCCGACCTTTCCGTGCCGTTTTTGGGTCGCTATCTCATGTGCATGGGTTTCATCCGCATTGTTTTTATACTTTCTATCTTAGCACAGAACACTCCCTTTGTGTTGCAGGGATGATAAAATTGTAATCGTTAAGACTAAAAAGTCATTTTGTATGTACGCAGACACTCGGGTCAAATCCATCCTTCAAATGTGTACTTGTTCTTCAAAGCACAGTGCAGATGGTCAAGTTTCCCAGTCCAGTCCAGCAGTAGTGACCATAATAACAGAAGTCATTGCAGCCGTTTCACTCGCGGTGTATTGGCAGTTGTTAAAACTGCAACGGTTGCAAACTTAAAACTGTGTTTCTCTGTACATGTGCATGCATATGTATATATGTGTGTGTATTGTGGAGCGGTAGTGCAGCGGTTAGCGCGCTGTGCTACGAACCCGACGACGTGAGTTCGATTCCCGCTCACGGCCAACACAAGTGACAATTTTCTGAACCGGTCCTGAGCCCTCCCCTAGGTTGACTCGGCCTCAAATGAGTACCTGGTGCGATGTGTAAACATTGCCGCTCAGGAGACAGACAGACATGTGGGGCTGGCCACCCACCTCCTCGTGTGCCGTTGAGGCCTTCATAGGTACTCGCTAACAGCACTTGAGCCCAACAGTATTTTAAGGCTATACGGGGAGTCTTTGTATGGATCTGCATTTTTATGTTTACGTGTGTGTTCATGCATATTTATTCATTTGTGTGTATATACCTGTGTGGAGTATTGTTATGGTTAGCACGGTGCGTTACGATTCCCTCTCAAGGCCAATACCTGTGACGATTATCTGAACCAGCCCTAGGCATCCCCTAGGTCTACTTAGCCTAAAATTAGTACATGGTACTGACCACCCACCCCCTCGTGTGCCGTGCTGGCCTTCATAGGTGCTCGCTTCACAGCATTTCCCCCAACAGTCTGTTAATGCTATACTGGGGATCTTTTTGTGTGTGTGTCCACATTTCTGTATTCATTTGTGCGTACGTGTGTGTCTCTCTCTCTCCAAAGGGAATACTTTGTTTGGAAAAGTGGAGGCGTCGTGGGACTTCCTGACTGGAACGGTGGATCCAGAAAATCCATCTCCTGTGATCACGCTCTTCACCAAGTGAACCCAGATCACTTACCCCAGATCACTTTCTGGAATTTGCTCTTTATTTGACAAAAAAAAGCATTATTGAGGTGCCTGGCAGCTCGGGGGTGGGGCGGTGGTGTGGGGGTGCTAATGCACGTATTGTAGAGCGGAATCAGAGCCGCCTAGATCCTGCGCTTAAATTCCACGCTCCCACCTTAGATTAACGCAGCGGTCACCAATGACTGCACCAAATAAAGAACTGCATAGAACTTCGCCTTCGCACTTTATTTGGCTTCACCCAACCACCATGAGGATGTTTATCCGTCAGACCCGCGTAGTTAAACCACTCGCTCATCTCTTCAGCTGAAGAATGTGCCCTAGAAGTCACGGTAAGTTTGACCTTTTTGAAGGATGCCAGAAGGCCCTGTGATATCACATCCGGGTACTTCCCCAATGCGATGCGAGGCTCCGCTGCGTTCTGGAGGTTTTTGGTACGTCAAAAGACGTTTCTGCCCTGTGCCAACATATGCCGTAGCGTGATTGGGTTAAATTGGACTTGTATAACAGTAACATTTAATGACAATGATACATTATTGTTTTAAGTTTGCTGGTGCTTTAATTCTATAACAATCACAATATGCCTGTGCCAGCAAAGATAAGTATTGGTAGAAAGTGTGTGGATTTTCTTCCCCGCCCCCCCCCCCCTACTGAGCGGTGGTGGGCTGACCACTAGGCCTGTTGGCGTGGGATCACCGATACGATGTCTGCTGCCGTCCTGCAACAACGGGAGACGTTCACCGACACGTGTTGGCTGTATAGCGGATGTTATTAAAAGTGCCTGTAACATTGGTAGAAAAAGGTGGCCGTTGTATATTGATAACAAATCGCACGCAAATCAACTTAATTATTCCAAATAGTTGTAAGATTGCACATTTTTTAAAGCGTTTTTTTTCCTTTGTATTTTGTAGCAAAACATGCGTGCATACGCATATACGTCAAGGCCACCATAACATTTTAAGACTGCATTGAATATAAAAAAACATTAAGCGGCTTGCAAAATATAAAGACAACACGGCTTGCAAGTTATGTTTTATATATATATCTATATTTACAAAATACTACCGTACACTGGTAAATGCATATTCGAATTGTCAAGTAATGTGTGAAGAAAAGAGGTTCGGCTTTGCTTGAAAATCACTTGAACCGAATTGGACAACATTTTCTTCAGATGTAACTGCTCCAGTCCCTAGATCTTCCTTCCAATAGAGATAAGGGCTCTCAATGGGCTGTCACCGTGTTAACTAAAGGGCAGCGTGGGTTAAATTTTTGGCCTAGGATGACAAATGGGAGAGTGAATGAAATACTTGCTAATCCAATTCTAACGGCAAGCGGCAAAGATACACATTAGGAAAGACCACTTCTCGTGTGTGCCTTTGTAGATCACCACCCATTATTTTAGGTGACAATTCTAGTTAGAAGGGCAATCTCTTTTTTTGCTGCAAATTCAATTCTTGCCTCTGCAATGCAGCAGGATGACATTCCGTAGCTGTTTGCAAATGCGCTTGGCGATTTAATGCAGTCACTTCACCGTTTTCATCACGCATGTAATCGTCTTGTATAGATGTATGTTTCTGACCCATTGGGCCATTTTTAATGTTTTTTTTTTTAATAAACGTTGCTTCTGGTTCACACGTAGGAGGCTGCTGTTGTTTATGCATCGTTGAAAAAAGTGAACTCGGGTTTACAGATGGACGATGTAAAGTTTTTAAAGTTTGCGTTCTTTACTGCCCAGAGATATGTGCCTTGTCGAGATGGCAGGAACGTAGCTTCGTCCAGGGGTCTGCAACCACAATAAGAGCCATTTTCGAATTCTGTAAAAAAAATTCAAGATCCGCGATAAAAGTGAATACGAGTCGGAGGCATCCTTAATACATAACATCACAAAGCAGTCCTGAAAGAGCCGCATGCGGCTCTGGAGATGCAGCTTGCCGACCCCCTGGCTTAGACCGTTTGTCCCACTGATGGTAACGGAGGCATCGCCACATGTTCTCCGCTGTATAAAAATAGACGCTCCCCAACATAAGTGCTGTCGTTCATTGATGATTACCCCCTTTTAGTTACCGAACAAACATTGTGTACTTGGTCAAGTGAAGCTCTACTGGGAAGCAGAGCACCGGTCCACGTTTACGTGACAATCCTTACTTATTGGCCGTGTCGTGTGGTGGCGAATTTAACGACGTGATATAACCCAAAAACCTCATGGATAGAATTAGTCACGAAAGCCTGTGTTTAAACGTACAGTACTGTGTTCCCAAGTCTATGCTCCTGACCTTCAACCCACACTGACTGGTGTGGTGAAACACTTTCAAATAACTTCCACGATTTTAGGTCGAATGGCAATCTCTCTTTACTGAAAGTGCAATTCCTGCCTCTGCAATGAAACAGAAATACAATACGTGGCTGGTTTCACATGCTCTTGATGATTTAATGCAGTCTTTTCGCCACCGTTTTCACCTGTATGTCATTGACTTGTATGGCATTGGGAGGCCGTCATCCAGCAGTGGGTTGATACACGTGCCAGTCTTACTACATGCTTGTGACAGCAATTTGGACGGTGGGGCTGGTGGGTCACACCAAGATGTGAAATTAATGCCAACCTGCTTTGCGCGATGAGGTGTGTGTAGGAGGCAGTACGGTAAATGTGCTGCTGACCGATTTTGTGCGAAGTTTAAACGTTCCTCACTCATTTACTCCCACTCGAGGAAAACATTCTCGCGAAGACTGGTCAATAATCTCAAATGGGACCCTCCTGAAAGTGATTTTTGAGACTCGGTGAGGCTATCTTGGGGGAAACAAAATACTTCTTCCTCCAATGTTATCCCCGATTGCGATATCGGCGTCACGTCATGAGACACGAAGTATCCTCTTTGGTGTCGCAGAGAATTTCAACCCTCTGTGTTTGAGCACACCCCACAGAAGCGGATATCACAGAGCTAGCTCTGAGATCCCTTCCGTCGAGTGACCGGTGAGCCACACGCAGCAGAGGGGACAGCACTTTCCCACCCGTTCTGCGAGTGAGCTTCGTCAAACCCAGACTTTAATTCTCAAGAACTGGAATTCATATTCTTGGTTCTTTTGGTAAAATCACGTAGAAGGGAAGTCATGAAAATAAAAATTCTCATGACGTTTCGATTGCAACACAAGCAATCATCAGGTGTGAAATCCACAACAATAAAATTTTGGAATTCAACCAAAAATTGAGCGCCGAGCCAAATGAACGAAACGACGCACGTGTAGAAATTGCAAATCGCGCAGGAAAAGTTTAATTCGCTAACTCAACCACCAAGAGGGATGACGAGGCGAGGCTTGGTCGGAATGCGCGAGTGCTTGAAGCGCTCGGACGGAGTTGTACGCGGCCGCCGTCCTGTTTCTGTAGGCAATCAATAACTGTCAATTAAAACAATTAATCCCTTGACACGAGTGCCATGGGAACGCGATGCGCGCAAACAGGCAGCTTGTAGAACCTTAAATAGGGTTTTTTTGCTAGATCGCGTAAATATAAATGTGTCGTTAATCCCGCCACCACCCGACACAGCCAATTAGTAAGGTTTGTCACGTGAACGGAACATGCCAATTCGTTACTCCTTACGCCAGTAATTACAACTCGCATCATCAGGTGGACAGTCCGAATTCTATTTACACGATCTAACCCCCCCCCCCACCCCCCCAAAAAAACGCCCGATCTTATGGATTATATTGGTCGCGAAAGCCTCCTCCGTGTTAAACTTGTAGAACCTTCTGTGCGACGACACTCGCAACCGAGCCGCTTAGAGGACTTGACAAGAGCCACTGCCACCTTGTTTTGTTTACTGAGCGGCGGCAAGGAGTGAAGGGGGGGGGGCACGCACCTCCAATTGAACAGCGGGGAGTGGCCCCCTTTTTAGCAAAGGGGCAATTTGCACAATAACAAGGGGCGGGTTGCCTTCGGTTAAAACAAGCGGGGGCAGTCGGCTGGGAGAAATTAAAAAAACGCGCCGTGGCCAGGGCCGGATTAAGGCGTGGGGGCTTTCGGGGGCTTCTGCCCAGGGCCCTCCGCCAGCTGGAGGGCCTCCAGAGATGAAGTGAAAAGTCATTTCACTTGTGAATGCTGAATTTTATTAGTTGTTAGCCTTGTAAAAATACATTTAATTTTTCTTTAACTTTGTTTTCCTTTTGAAAATATTACTGGGGACCTCACCAGTACCTGTAAGGCCAGGGATGCCTGGAAATCCTCCGCTGCCTCCTAAATCTCTTCACCTTGGATCAGACTCCGGTGGCGTTCCGCCGTGGCAAGATGTGAACTCCCTCGGCCTGGTATGCAGCAGAGGTGGGGCCGTGGGTTCGATCCCGAACCTGGGCGTCCGTATACTTGGGAGTGTGTAACGTTGTTTCTCGCCGTGGTCGCAAAACGTTTTTCTCCGAGTCCTCCGGTTTCCCCCCCCCCTCCACGTTTAGAATCAACATCACGCGTTTCAAAGTATCTAGCTGCTATAAATGTCCACACGACCAAGCCACTTCGTTGAGCTACACAGCATAGTGGGCCTTACCTGGTACAAATTTTTTTAAATGTATAGACTCGCCCCATTGCAGGTGACGGTGTGGCAGGTGCATTAGCAGCGAGTGTGCCGGGATGCCCAGCCGTCCTGGTGTCTCCACATCTTCGCTTGTCGACGCCAAGTGGAATGCGTGGCGAATACGGTTGGCATAAGCTGGTTGTTCACGATGCCTGTCTGTGGGTGACCTTCCGAGAACGTTCAGGCGACTTTCGCATATCCCAGTGCCTTCAATCGCTGTCGATACCACTTTGCCTATGGGCATAACTGATAAATATACACGTGTGTCTGCGCAAAGCTTATGTCAATGCACGACCGGATGAAGCCCTCTGGAAACTGTGCGGCTTGTGTGGGTTTCTCGACGATACTTCAGAATGTGGCGAGCATGTAAGTAGAGTACAACAATGGACGTTGCTGCACTCCCCTCAACTGCCCAACACCGTAGCCTATAATAACTTGTTTTGCTCGGTTCTCAATCATCCAAGTGTAGTGGTCGACTTCACGCGGACAACTTTATTCTGTTCTCCGACACCACTTTTATTACAACTTTCCACATTCCGTCTATAACTTCACAGTTCCTCTGTCTGCCGGAGCTCGCTCGCCGCGCTCCGCCCGTCTCGCTCGCTCCGCTTCCTCACCTGTCTCCCACTGTCTCTCCGTCACTCGCTGTCTCTGTCTCTCTCCGTCACTCGCTGTCTCTGTCTCTCTCTCCGTCACTCACTGTCTCTGTCCCTCTCCGTCACTCGCTGTCTCTGTCTCTCTCCGTCGCTCGCTGTCTCTGTCTCTCTCCGTCACTCTCTGTCTCTGTCTCTCTCCGTCGCTCGCTGTCCCTGTCTCTCTCCGTCGCTCGCTGTCTCTGTCTCTCTCTCCGTCACTCGCTGTCTCCGTCTCTCTCCGTCACTCGCTGTCTCTGTCTCTCTCCGTCACTCGCTGTCTCTGTCTCTCTCCGTCGCTCGCTGTCTCTGTCTCTCTCCGTCGCTCTCTGTCTCTGTCTCTCTCCGTCACTCGCTGTCCCTGTCTCTCTCCGTCACTCGATGTCTCTGTCTCTCCTCGTCACTCGCTGTCTCTGTCTCTCTCCGTCGCTCGCTGTCTCTGTCTCTCTCTCCGTCACTCGCTGTCTCCGTCTCTCTCCGTCACTCGCTGTCTCCGTCTCTCTCCGTCACTCGCTGTCTCTGTCTCTCTCCGTCGCTCGCTGTCCCTGTCTCTCTCCGTCGCTCGCTGTCTCTATCTCTCTCCGTCGCTCGCTGTCTCTGTCTCTCTCCGTCGCTCTCTGTCTCTGTCTCTCTCCGTCACTCGCTGTCCCTGTCTCTCTCCGTCACTCGATGTCTCTGTCTCTCCTCGTCACTCGCTGTCTCTGTCTCTCTCCGTCGCTCGCTGTCTGTCTCTCTCCGTCACTCGCTGTCTCTGTCTCTCTCCGTCGCTCGCTGTCTGTCTCTCTCCGTCACTCGCTGTCTCTGTCTCTCTCCGTCACTCGCTGTCTCTGTCTCTCTCCGTCGCTCGCTGTCTCCGTCTCTCCTCGTCACTCGCTGTCCCTGTCTCTCTCCGTCGCTCGCTGTCTCTGTCTCTCTCCGTCACTCGCTGTCTCTGTCTCTCTCCGTCACTCGCTGTCTCTGTCTCTCTCCGTCACTCGCTGTCTCTGTCTCTCTCCGTCACTCGCTGTCTCTGTCTCTCTCCGTCACTCGCTGTCTGTCTCTCTCCGTCACTCGCTGTCTCTGTCTCTCTCCGTTGCTCGCTGTCTCTGTCTCTCTCCGTCACTCGCTGTCTCTGTCTCTCTCCGTCACTCGCTGTCTCTGTCTCTCTCCGTCACTCGCTGTCTGTCTCTCTCCGTCACTCGCTGTCTCTGTCTCTCTCCGTCGCTCGCTGTCTCTGTCTCTCTCCGTCACTCGCTGTCTGTCTCTCTCCGTCACTCGCTGTCTCTGTCTCTCCGTCGCTCGCTGTCTCTGTCTCTCTCTCTGTCGCTCACTTTCGCTGTCTCTCTCCGTCACTCGCTGTCTCTGTCCCTCTCCGTCACTCGCTGTCTCTGTCTCTCTCCGTCACTCGCTGTCTCTGTCTCTCTCTCCGTCACTCGCTGTCTCTGTCTCTCTTCGTCACTCGCTGTC